AAAAAATGAACAACGATTGGACAGAACTAGAAAGAAAAATCCATGACAGTGTAGGTTGGAGAATGCCGGTGGGCTGCCTATGCTCCATTGGGAGTAACCGGCAAAATTAAGTAATGCCTACTATAAAACATGAATCAAGTATATTGTTATGAGTAGAACGTTTGCCGGAATTTTTGTTAAATGTTTGTTAAATTTATAACTAATATTTAAAGGTAACTGTGAGTATTTTTAATGAAAAGTTGAGTTTCTCTTCAGTTAAAATTTATGAAAAAAAAGTATCTAGCGACTATTTTATGCTACTTGACATTAGTTGCAATGCGAATTAAATTACAAAAAATCCACGAATCAAATCGAAAGGTGTTGGGTTCGAGTCCCTGAGTAAATATCAACACTTTCTATTATTGTGATATATACATTGTAAGCAGTGTATATGCAGTAGAATGTCAGACTGAAGTCGCGATTGTAGATAGAAGTATCGGATACGGATTTATGGAGTGATTTGGGATTTTATTGAGTAATAGAAGACATGTGGATGAAGACAGCCACAAAGACGCTTGTTTTTGGAAATGGATGGTTTATGAAATGGTGTATACTTTGTTGACTTTTAAATTGTGCCTTCGAAATCTAGGCTTCCGTATTTGTTCATGACAGGATTGGTTATCGATCTAACCTTGAAACTATCTATTGGTACATTTTTTTTACCTTGAACTCATGAATAAAAAGTTTTCAATGAAGAATTCCTATAAAAAGTGTATTTAAATTGGGATACATTTTAATTAAAATTCATGCAATAATTTGAGTTACACAACTTGACCTGAACTATACTTTCATTTGCCACCTCATCTGCTATGAATCAAGTGTTCTGAACTGACCTGTCATGAAATACCTATTTTTAAATTAGATTTCTCAATGCTCACTGGGTTAATTCGTACGTAAATAGTGGAATGCCAAAGGGTATTGATTGGACAAGAATCATTGGGTAGATTGTTAAATATTCATTTTGGAAATAAATTTTAGATAAACGTCATGTCGATTAGGAAGATACACGCGAGTCCTGGATTTCACTGACAGCTACCACCTACTTCTGCCAATGATTCTCGAAACCTGAAAGACAATATTTGGGGTGATCCGTACAAGATGTACATGTACTGGACGGTTCAGTTATACAGTCCCAGACAATAAGGGGGTGATTCAAACTACCAATGGAAAAGACTAAATCTTCACTTTATTTGGATCCGAGTCTCGGAGTGGACATCGCAACTCTGACATGCAAGCGCATCAAGTTGATGAGTACCGAATGGAGACGAAACGCGTGTTGTGGATTCCACTGCAAGTCACTATTCACCTCTTTTCATCTCATCATAAATATCATTTCATAATATTTTGAAATTATTAAGTAAAATAATTTATTGGATTACCTGTAGATAGCTTGTAAAAATTTACGTTGATGTGCTCGAACACGATGTGAATGAAATGTTGGCATTAATTTTGCATGTTTATACAATAACCAAGTTTCTCTGAGTACATTAGCTGCACAATGTTTAACCTGAAAAATTTTCACAAATATAAAAAATGATAATCATAATAATTATAATAATCAATAACAGCTTTTGAATAAAATTTACAAAATTTGAAATCTTACTCACTGCCTTATTGTGGAAGTGTTATTGCTAGCAAAAGCGAATTTTCAGCGAATGTTCGAGTAGGTAGGCACAGTGGTCCTATCTAGGAGAGTTAGGAAACCTTCGTTCCAGACTAATAGTGGTGCACATGGGCTCCATGATCCTGAGGGAACAAATTGTTTATGCAACTACTGATAAGCAACGATCACCGTAAGACTGCATTATCTCACTTTGCTCCATAGCCTTGTGGGTTAGACTTTTGAGTCAGTGGCCCGAGCAGTTGCCTTCTAAGAAAACCACTAGCTTCGATTAGGGCAACCAATCGGTAACTCACGCCATTCACAAGCTCAGTACTTTGTGCGGTACAGTAATATTAAAATGTTTCATTGTACCAATGTATGTGTTGAAAGGATGAGTTGTTAAAAAAATGTTTTAGTAATTAGGTAACTATCTGAATTTACAGAATTTATAGGAAGAATCTAATAAAATATTCAGTTTTTCATTATAGAGTTATTCAGATTGGTGTTTTTCTTACTGAAATCATGAATCAATCATTGTTAGACCACTAGCATTAGAAACCTGGAAGCACTGAAAGACGGCCATTTCGTCCTGGTATGGGATCATCAATAACAATTGAGTTAGGTTGCGCAAAAACCCCCTAGGCTGATCGGGGTTAGACATTAACACCATTGATGGCCGGCTCAAGAGTCTAGTGATTAGGCATTCCCTCGCAATATCAAAGGTCTTTGGTTCGAACCCTGCAAGCAGCAGGAGTCGTGGATGCACACTGTCATTGATGAGTCCCATTTCAGGATGAAATGTCCATCCAGTGCTTTCAGGTTCATAAAGGAGGACTAACAATGTTTGATTCATGATTTCAGTAATGAAATTTTCAAGTCAGTCGAAGTAATCATTAAATAAATTAGAGCAATGAAGAGGTTTTAATTATCAGTTGACATGATAAGAAGCCATAATCATATACAACACTAGAAATCAAGTCATATAATCTATAACAAACAGTCCAAGTCAAGATCGGCAGAACAAGCAACTACTCATATATGTAAAAAAAGCGTTCCATAGGGTTTTTTATATGAAGTTTGTACTGATAATTTTGTCGATAAAAACAATGAGACATTCACAATTGAACTATCCAGATAACAACAAAATATGAGTTCAACTGAATTTAAAACTTCTCACAGAACCCCTCTACAGTTACTGTCGGTCCCAAGCCCGGATATCGGAGTAGAGTTGGACATAGGGTTAGCTAGCCTATCCCATGGAAAACCAACTCGCTAAATAAAAATCGACTGGAACTAATTTTTTCCAATACCCTCAATCGTGTAATTGATTACCATCAGTACGTGAGGTAATGAAGACTTTGGAATTACCCAGAGAGAATACATTACCAGTTCACACTTTAAAATACATGAGATTTAAAAAGAAGTCACAGTTTTCAACAGTACAGTCGGGCAACATGCAATAATTCTATTTGTCGATATTGTCAAATCCTACACTTCGCTAAAGCACACTCTAATCAAATCTGCATTGAATCCGGAGAAAACTCTTATCCGTTTCTAACCGTTATGGTTTCCTTTTTGGTCGGTGTTATGTAATCTTCATTTAGCCAGAAACTCGTTCATCTACGTTTGAACTGATTTACTCAATCATTGAGTAATTTTTTCCCTACATAAAATTCTTAAAAAAATCTTATAAACTGTTTATTATGCTCATCAGTAAACGAGAGAGAAGACAAATGATCCAGTGACACGATAGGCAACTCTAATCCGATGGTCTCAAAGCCCCACTAAGTAGAGGAAGAAGTCTTGACAAGACGTAGAGAGTATATTCTACAAGGACACCGAAAATATGAGGTTTTTCAAGCACACAAATCGAGTTTATTTACACATGATATAAACTTCCTTGAGATAACCACAAAAATAGCCTACTTAGATGATACAGTGACCGATAACAGTAAAGGATTTTCCTGGTGAGAAATTTAATGTCAAGGTCAACCAATCAGCCCATGCACGAAAACATAAAATCCAAAATTAGGACCTTTATCAAATGAGTTTTGGGGATCTAACGTCTCCGACACTGTTCAAAAATTATTTACTCAAATAGACATAAATGTAATTAGTCGGTTTGTTTCCATCGTTTTGCCGATGTATCCCAATTCAACTTGATAATGGAACCTTGTTAGTGGGACATAGTTGGAATAAAGCATGACTGCGTCAGCTGTGCGCTGATTAACTAATTTCCTATCCAATCAGAGCCTGATCGAGTCTTGGAGAACAGGGTAGAAAATTCTCGTATTGTTAGCTGCATGCGGATTGGCTAAATCTAATCCAGTCGATCACGTGAATTTCTATCCAGAAGCTTCTCTTGTAAATGCTATAAATAAACTAACGCCTTCGCGTTTGGCTTCTTATTTCCATTTAACCTTGTTATATGCAGTATAATCTTTTCCTGTTCAACCATGTTTTTGATTCTTGGGAACTTGTCCAGTGTATTGTGGTCAGAGAATACTAAACAATAGGATTTAGCTGGGAATCATTTAAGCAAGCGTTACAATAAACCTAGTGAATGAATTTATTTTACTGAACTTGTCCTTACGCGCTATCGAGCAAATAGATCAGCGGTCAGCCATTTTTTTTCTCTTAGGGAAATTCGCATAAAACACTTAAGTGTAACATGAAAGAGTTTACGCTATCAGCCAATTTATTACATTTGTATTCAAAAAAGTTTTTGTTTTCCCCGTGTATACAACATAAAAAAATAACATAGTATTTTCAAATTTCACATAAATTATTTGTAATATGCCGCAATAAATTAAATAAGGCGCCAAACATAGCTGTATGAAATATTGTACACTGAACAGATCATTTTTTGTAGTTTACAAACTTTCAATTGTATGTATGGTAATCGCCAGCAGTGCGCATCCACGAGCTCCGCTCACAGGGATCAAACCAAGTACCTGCGGTCTTGCGAGCACAGACTCTTCACATCATCAAGACCATTGAACCGGCGGCATCCATCGATGGCAATCAATTTTTTTCAATAAAAAAAATATACAGAAAATCAAGATTGAAGCAGCATGCAAAACAGCATACCTTCTTGGTTAGTTTATTCGATTCCATAAAATGTAACACATGTTTTTCAGCTTTGGTCATTTCTAATTTTCTTGAGAATACCGCAACCAATAAGGCAGTACAAGCGGAACCCTGTATGAGCAAAAACAGAAAACAAAAAGAGTAGAATAAGCTTATTAATAGAAAATGAAATTTAGTCAGACTAGTGGAGTTCAACCCTGTTTTCGAGGGTGTGAAGCAGGGCCCACTGAATATAATGGATGGGTGTGAGCGAAAACCGTGGATTGATAGAAGGTGGACTCTAACCCCGTTCAGACGCTGGTTAGGCGTTCGCACGAAAGATAGGAGGTCCCAGGTTCGAGCCTCTGGTAACCAACATTAAAGTCAAAATATCTTATTACGAACATCAAGACAGTTCTATTGTGTGAAGCTGAAATTTGGAGAACTACAGAAGCCACTATCCAAAAGATGTTGATATTTATTAACAGATGTCTATGCATGAAACTGTGGATCCTTTGGCAAGATACCATTAACAACAACCTACTGTGAGAGAGAATGAATCAGGTTCCAATTGATGCGGAAATTAGGGTTTACACATGTCCACATGTAGTGAGTAATATAAGGGAAGATTTTTTAAATGGATTTTGATTGTTAATCGATGTTTACACAGACTAAGCTAATGCTTTCAGCAGTTCAAATAATTTATTTTGTAAAGAATTCTTCGTTTTACTTCTCTCGTCATCTTGTCATTTGGTGTGTGTTGGATTGGTTGAAGTGTTTTTACTGTTTTGTATGCCATATCCTTCCCAAATGTCTTCAGTAATCAAAGTCGGATAAAATCGAAATTAAGAGACAAGTAATGGCAGGTTTATAGTCAGTGACAGTACAAGTTACAACTCACAGGTGGGGAAACTCAAATACTTCAATCCTACCTGAGGTGATCCATCACTGTTAGATCACTATTAAAAATCTGGAAGCACTGGACGGCCGCTTCATCCAGGTATGGGACTCACTAGGATTGCGCATCTATGATTACTGCTGCTCGCGAGAATCGAACCGTCGGTCTTGCGCGAGAACGCCTAGCCACCGGACCACTGAGCCGGCATCCGACGGTGTTACTGTCTGACTCTGATCAATCTGAGGATGTTGCACAACCCCACCCATTTATCTTCAGTAGCTACTACCTACTACCTAAACCCGACGGGTCTGAACTCTACTGATCAAGTCTTCTCAGTAGAACGCCGACAGCGTCCTCACGAAGCTAGTCTCTAATGAGCGTACTGCACAATGTTTCACTATAAAGTTATACAGACTATTCTTTATTACAGAAATCACGAATCAATCATTGTTAGACCACAATTAGAAACTTAGAAGCGCTGAAAGATTAGACGTTCACGCGTAACATCGAAGGTTCTGAGTTCGATTCCTGTGAGTTGCACGAGTTGTGGATGCGTATGTCTGATAGGTTCCATACTAGGACTTGATGATAACCCAATGCTTCCATGTTTTTAACAACGACTGATTCATGATTTCAGTAATAAACAGCAATCTCTTTAACTCTATTAAGAGGAAACGATGAAATCTTCACAAACGAAACCATCCATTTCACAGAACGAAACTCCATCCGAACCACCTAATCACACTACAAATTTTTCGTAAACCATTTCAAATCCAATAATATATATATATATATATAATTATTCAATGCGAATATTCTTACCATCAGTCCAGTTGCAACAGCAATCAGTCGGCCACAACTTGTATGCGGTACAATATCACCATAACCAATACTTAAAAATGTAACTGATATAAGCCAAGCTGAATTTAATAACGATAAATGGTCTTCACCTTGTTCTCTTGAACAAATAATTTCAATAAAAGAAATTACATTTTATTATTGATTAAAGAATTAGAGAAATTCAGACGTTTAACAAAAAATATTTTATAAAAAACCTTAAACAATATGTTGTACAGGTTCGCATAACTCCTCCTGGAACCCCTCTGGGGCTATTGCTGGTCCCAAGCCCAGATAAAAGAAAAGGGTTGAGCTTGGGGTTGGTGACCCTATCCCGTAGAAAACTAACTCACTAAAAAAATGCACTGACCAGAGGTTTACACATAGTTTATGTATTGAAATGTATAATATTGCATTCCTGAGGAGCGATGGATAGTGATTAGTAGAGGAGCGAGATGAGACGCATACGTCCAGACAATAAATGTTAACCATTATACAGCTCTGCTGATAATCTTTGTGACTAAAATACGATATTCAGGAAATCCACACAGGATGTACATCAGTTAAATGAAACTGATCACTAGCCATCTTTAACATATTTGGGAAGATTTAAAGAACCTATACAAATGAGTGAAATACTGAATGAAGTGTAATAATTATACGAGGAGATTGGAATTTGAGCTTCCATAAGTTCATACATACTAACTACTGATTATATATATATATATATATATATATATATATATATATATCGTATGAATATATATATATATATACATATTTTGATACAACACAACATGCACCAACCAAATTACACTTGATAGAGATGTCTTGGTTGACGTAAAACACTTTACACATCTGAGCAGTATCATTTATGAGCACAGCGGGTCTGATGTAGATGTAAAGGCAGGGATCAGCTAAGCAAGAGCTGTATTTCTACAACTGAACAACATCTGGAACTCAAAATAACTATCAACAAACACCAAAGTTAGAGTTTTCAATACAAAAGTCAAGACAGTTCTACTGTACCGGGTGGAAACTTGGAGAACTACAAAAGCCATCATCCAGAAGATACAGGTGTTTGTTAATGGTTGTTTACACAAAATGATTCGTATCCCTTGGCCAGACACAATCAGAGCGACCTACGCTGGGAAATAACAGATCAGATTCTAGTGGAGGGGGAAATCAGAAAGAAGCGGTGGATGTGGATAGGACACACATTGAGAAAAGCATCGAACTGCGTCACAAGATAAGCTTTGTGTCAGAATCCTCAAGGTCAAAGGAAAAGAGGAAGACCACGGAACACAGTAAGCCAAGAAATAGAGAAAGGGAAGAGAAGAATGAACAACCACTGGACAGAACTGTAAAGGGAGGCCCAGGACAGAATAGGTTGGAGAATGCTTGTGGGCGATCTGTTCTCTATTTTAGTTACAGGCGTAGGTAATTAAGCACTATATATATATATATATATATTCGCGCTCTTACGACACAATAGCTTAGTTAAAATTGTATGCTGCGGTTGACAATGGCAACAATAGTACTAACATTAGTAGAGAAAATTGTAAGTAGACTATATTCATGATTCCAGAATAGTGAGTTCATTTTTTAATTTAGGGCAAAGGTTGAATGCACTTTTTTTAAGTATTTTTCAGCTGTGTCATCCAAAACCTGAAATATTTGATCAAAATAACTGCACAAGCGCCAACCAGATAATCTACAGCCTTCTTATAATCTTTTTCCTAAACTAGTAAACATCGTACGTTGAAGTACCTAATGGTTTCCAATCTATAATACATATTCCAGATCAATTGAGATCCACTTTCGAATCAGGTGCTAAGCCTTCTTGAATTAATACTCTACAGTTCACTTCCAAATCGATCAGCTGATAGGTTCAGCACTGATCGATCAATACTTTTAAAAGATTTAAGGTTAAATACTGGGAATTTACATTTATCCTCCGTTTTTTAAAGGTCACAGTTCACAGCTTTAGCGTCGAGCAAAGTGAACTGTTGCACAATCAAATTATTCTTTGGTTAATCATATAGATATCAAGTTAACCACTGAAATGACGTATAAAAAAGTATACCAATGTCTAAATGACCTACTTTTGTTAACCAGTTTGTAGCATGTTGAAATGAATGTTTTGTGTCTTGATTATGAGTAGCTATCTAATTCATTGACACTAAGATTACCTCAACGCCTCTGGTATTCGCGTTTTCAGTCAGTTTCATTCAAAAACAATCATGATGTCTATTGGCAAGTTTAGTGAATGTACATTTATGCTAAGGTAAATGAGTGACATATATTGTAACCATCTAACTTCGTATAACTTTATGTACATTTCAAGTACTGTTCGGCTGTTTAAAAAACACAATTTAGTGAAGTTGATATTTTGAATGTGAATTAGTCAGTCAGTCAGTTACAACGTAGAACTCTGTACGCATGGACATCAGTTCAGGTTGCCATACCACATTAGCACACAAAGATTGTCGATTGTCGATTCAAATCCCATAGTGGCAGAAGTTAGTAGAACTCTCAGCAGTAATCGTGAACATTAGTGTTCGAGGATTTTATTTAAGAATCCAGAGGATTAGGATTTGGCAGAGCACAAAGAATGGATGTACCTGCGCCATTGCAAACGGTATTGAGCCATATCATTCTAGGTCTCTAATAATCGGTTACTATCGTCTCGCGAATCCGAACCTGATAGTCCACACCTATCAAAATGACTCAATCCAGTTTTTGTCAATGACTCCATAGAGTTGTGCCATGTTTTGGTTTAGCTACCCTCAGGCCTTTTCCAAACTACCCCTACACCACAAAACATAGCTTGCTGAGGCAGTCAATGGTTGGTTAGGTCCAAACCACCTCATCTAATGAACATCCCCTACTTCATCAACTGATCTCTCATCCTTACCTACTAGTCAAACATAAAATTAAGATGACACTGAATATATACGTAAAATACAAAAAAAGAACAACCCAAAACTTACAATTCACAAGCTCTCAATGTCCAACTAAATATCACCCATATTGTTGTAATAAAAATAAGCAAAGCTTTTGCTGGACATAATGTCATTAATGTTTTCAAGACAAATTGTAAATTGAAACTGACCTAATTTTGGTGGGTAGTAGTAGTTTTTGTTTTTGTTTTAAATGAAAGACAAAAGAAATAAACATACAGTGATTAGACATTGAAGTACATGATAGAGAATTCAATATTAGTTTACTACTTATCAATGTATCACATATTATGTAACACAGATTACATAAATAAATAAAATAATTGATATGAGAAACATTTGCCGATTACAATCTTTTGAATTAGAGTTATGGAGATCAGTGCGTTTTTACACGCTGAAATAATCAATCAATCATTGTTAGACAACGGTTAGAAACCTCGAAGCACTGGAAATCTATTTCGTCATGGTATGGGACTCTTCAGTGGCATTGCGCATCAACGACTCCTACTACTAGCGGGATTTGAAATAGAACCGTTGGTCTTGCGCATGAACGTCTAACCTCTGAACCACTAGGCTGGCATCTACGGGTGTTTATGTCCGACTCTGATTAGTCTACGGATTTTCCACAACCTAAACCCTTTGTTCTCTGTAGTTACTGCCTACAGTCAATAGGGTTGAAATTCACCGGTCACGTCTTCTCACCAGAAAACTCCGAGAATTCCCTCACAAAGCTAGTCACTACTGAGCACATTGTACGATTTTTTTTCAATTACAATCTTCACTGTTTACGTTAAAAATTTTATCAGTCCCAAGAGATGGGTTTTCGGTATTATGAGTCAGAAAATAAACATTTCGCTTTCATTCTGATCAAATAAAGTGTTATTGAGGCAATAAAACACTTACCAGAGCTTTTTTGATTCTAACATATTTTCATGTAATCGTGTCTTGTAATGGGAAAAATTTTTAAAGAATAAGAGTAAAAATATTCACAAAACCTCTTAACCGGTTTTTGAAACCGGTTAGAATACTCCGTTTCTCCGACCCGACAAGATTGAAATAAATTGGTCACTACTGCTCGACAGGAGACGATTATCTGTCGCAGGCGATGGGTGAAGGTTACGCGACATCACAGAATGATTGAAGTTAGACATCAACATTACTGGATGATCTAGAAATTGAGAGATCATGTTAGACCAAAGGTTCTGCGTTCGATTTCCGCTTACGGGGTTCGTGTATATGCACCGATGATAAGTCCCACACTATGACGAAAAGGCCCATCCACTGCTTCCAAGTTTTTGTCATTCTCGTCTATAGACCTCAATTAGACGTGAACTATCAAGAATACTCCAATATATAGATAGGGCTAAGAACCCATTCTGTCAGCTCAATTTCATTTGACGTTCCAGATAAAGTCATGCCTTGTTCTGAACAACAATACAAATTTCACAATGAAACTATTCAGCTCAGTAAAACTACATACTCTTACCTACCTAGTATTCATCCATTTGAGCTATAAATATTTTCTGTCAACTCTAAAGAAGTATTCAATAATCCGGATTAATTTGAATACTCAATACAGATTACTTCCCTAGCTTTCACAACTACAAGTGATATTTTCGCATTATTTTTTTAGACAGATCATTGATGCCTTAGAAATTTTAGTTGAGATTTAAAAACAGCAAAAAAACAAATTTCGAATTCATTATCCTACAAAACATATTGTTGTAAATATCTTTCATTTATCTCTTATGAGTTTTATATACGGAAAACTAGTTTCTTCCCATTTGAATCGGTAGTTTGTATCTTTCCAATGACAGCAATTGATCAATCCGCTTGGCATATACGTATCCTGTGTGAATTGCTTTGATTTGGCCATTAAGTGGGAAGAATTTTAAACAGATATGAACGATGCGTAGTAGTAGGATCCAAGACGAGGCGTTTCGTTTGATTTGATACCCGTTTCTTGCTGCATATATCTGTATCTCGGAGTTGATGTTTATTCCGGGACTCGAACCCGGTACCGTTCGCTCCAAACGCCATCACGTTATCCTCTTACCTACAGAGTTCCAGAGTGGACCTCAATTCTGTGATACAGATGTATCCAGCTGGAGATGAATCTCATGTAAGACAAAATGCACATCCTGGATTCCACTGACAGCCACCTTCCAACTATTTTACTCAAAACTATTTTTGTTGAGAAGTCTACATTAACTAGTGAAATACGTTACTTAGTGTTAAATTTTTGTTAAAAATTGAACTGATTTATTTAACTTTTGTTTTAATGAATAATGTTTACCGTTTCTATTCATTTAAAATGTGTATTTGCTGAATTGATTTTGCATTTTAGAACTCTTCGAAGAATTAGTGTTATTGTCCGTATAAGGTTGTTATGGATCGTCAATTGATATGCTTGAATGCTATTACGAGTTCACCTTAGTGTGAAGAGTGAAGACAAATGATCCAGTGACACGATAGGCTACTCTAATCCGAGAGTACCAGTGCCAAACTGAGTAAATGAAGAATATTTGATGTGGCGTAAAAAGTGTATTCGACAAGCACACAGAAAATTTGACGTTCACAAGCACATGATAGAAACGTCCTTAGGAGAGCCACAAAAATGGCGTACTAAAATATTACATTGACCAATAACAGTGAAGGATTTCTCGGGTGGTGTAATATGATCTCAAGGTTAACTGATCCGCTCATGTGCAAAAGCTTAAACTCCAAAATTATGACTTTGATCTAGTGAGTTCTGTGGATCTAACGTCCCTAACAAGGGATTGTTGATTTTCATTGAAATCATGCAATCGATCAATGTAAAACCACTACTTCCAGCTTACCAATCGTAGTTGAATATTGATCGATTCGTGATTTCCAGTGAATAGTGTTTAAATAATAGTCATATATGATCAACGTTGAATTAGGTGCCAGTTATCATACTATATCGATATGACAGAATGGATTTAAAATGTTAGGCAGGAAATAAATCGTTGTAAATCTAGTCACGGTCACAATGACGAAAACTGAATTTCGAAGATTTATTTCGAATAAGGAGAATGATGAGGTGCGTATGAAGAAATATTGAAAGTTAAAATCTTGGAAAATACAAACATTTATTACTTCTGTTGCAGTTCGACCAAGTCCAGGTCATGTCACCCAATGTTTCCAACCATTAATGGAGATTTTCTTAAGTGGGTGTTAAGATGATATGTCTTGTTTTTTGTTCATTCCAAGCTCTTTTACAACTCATTCTTACATTATCTAACTATCTAGATAAGCTGTGATCGGGCATATATAGTACTAGTACTATGAAGGATTTGGAACTGGTTTTCTGTTCTTAAGTTACCTACCACAAACAGTGCTCATTCAGTCGAATAATATTCACATTCTTACCAGTTCAAGCAATATTCAAATTGACTTGTCATTAATCAGTAATGTTTAGAAGAAAAATCTAAACTGGTTTAGAAATGAAGTACCACTGTATATGATTAAATTAAGTAGACAATAAGTTTTTAAGGAAGATTTTTTCTGTGAGAATGAAACTCATATTGATATAATCTCTGAATTAATGTTTGCTCGACAGGAATTTGTGATGTATGTTCCCAATGTCAAAAGATCAGACTCTTTTTTAATGGCTTCGTTGAAGTCGTAGTAAGGCTCATCAAGTTAGTTAGTGTCCCACAGTCTAACTCCAGTTTCGCTAAACAGTTGAATAGACTATGAAATATATCATCCCTTACAGTTAGTTGCATATATCAATCATACTTGGGCAGACCCAGTTTGTCTGACGGGAGGAATAAGAAGCCAAAATACGATTTTGTGAATCATTTTATTTCATGCATCCACTTAAGCAGATAGAAATGAGCACGCGAAGCCTAAAGGCAAATGGAAGATGAAGGTGAAGAGTAGAAGGAGATTGGGCCAATGCAATGCCCCGAAGCATGACTAAGTCAGACAGAATAAACGAAGTAAGCACGGGCACACACACGCACATTCGAACAGAAACAACTAAGTTTATAAGCGAAGAATTGACAAGGTCCAAAGACAAGTGGATCATGACTCGAACAGAAAAGATGAATTAGTTTGTCCGAAAGCTAGGACAAGCCTTATCGGTTCAATATATATTAGTATATATATATGGTTACACTCACACGTGTTACCTCTGTACAATTTTATGCAGTGGATGACCACTTCACTCGAATTCGTCACTGAATAATCGGTTATACATATATTAGGGTATTTATTGTATTTTCGTAAATAATTCTTCATGAATAACTGTTTACCATAGTAAATGGAAATAGGTTTTATATGTGTGTTTAATGTGAATGCAATTATAAGCAACCAAATAATAGTAATAATAACAATATAACTAACTGTAATCGTAATCAATTTTATTCATTTCAAGAAACTATCAAAAGTTATTTTGAAGTACCTACCCAACCACTTGATCAATCGGTTATTGTAAAATTGTTCCAAAAAATTGACTTATAAGTATAAAAATAAGCAATAAGAGAGTGAATAAAACTCAAGTTTGTTTTGCCTTTTTGGATAGTCAGTAGTATAGTAGTAGTAGTAAGTAGTATAATTCATTGTGAATGAATAAACATAAAAAGACAATTAGGAAGAAGGCATACTTGTATGAAGAAAAAGTGGAGAAGTTTATAGGAATGAAAAAAATGTAGAAGAAAGAAAACACAACAACAACAACTGTTAAATTGATCGATAAGGAATCAATTATTTTTATGATTTCAGTTAAGTAACTCAACAATCTTATGATGTAAATTAATATGTGCTCACTGGTGACTAGCTCTGTGTGGAAGTTTCTCCTTGTTCTAGTCAGAAGTCGAGACCAATGGAGTTCAACTATGTTTTTGAGTGTGAAGCAGTGCTCACTGACGACATTGGATGAGGTTGTGCAAGACGGTGGACTGATAGAAGCTCATCGTTAACACTGTTAGATGCAGGCTCAGTGGTCCAGAGATTAGGCGTTCTCGCGCGAAACTGAAGGTCCTGCGTTCGAACCCTGTGAGTTGCAGGAGTCATGGATGCGCACTTCAGATGAGTTCCATGGTAGGACTTGAAGGCACTTTGTCAGTGCTTCCACGTTTCTAATGGTGGTCTAACAATGATTGATTCACGATTTCAAGGTTATTCAACAATTTTTAAAACACAACAAAAATCAGTCAATTATTCAATGCTGGACCCATAGGAAGAAAACACCTTTTGATTGGTTTCTTATATAAGAAATTTTGTGAAATATGGATTTGTTTTTCAATGAAAATTCAAAATGTTCAACTTCAATTGTATGAACTGATGAAAACAATTCCTTCTCCTGGGCTGTATTACACTACTTTATAGAAAAGAACATTATTTTAGATTAATATCAATTTTAGAATCATGGATGATTGAGAAATAGTGGTTGTTTAGTTTCAAGTTTGAAATTTTTCAATTGAGCACCTATTCAACTAACTGCATACTGATTCGTAAACTGTATTTGATCAAAAAGGGAAACTAACATGAAATGAAAATGAGACGTCTGAAATCACGAACGGATTTGAGATAAACTACTGTTAGAAACTCTGAAGCACTGAACGGCGGCTTCGTTCTAATGTCAGACTCATTACCAGATCGTATTCAAAACCCCGGAAAAGGGAACTGAATCAAGAGCCTTAGGTTTAACATGCGAAAGTTCAATATCCAGGTAGCTGAGATAGCATCCAGGGGTGTTAATGTCGGATCCATTGTCTTCGGTAGATGAATATGCCTCACACCTGACACGGTCACAGCTTCTCACTAGAACTCCAAGAGTTTCTTCACGAAACTAGGCACCAATGTGTACAAGATCATGGCCATTATACAGTTGAAAAGTATGTTGAGTTTCACATATAGTCATTAACTGGTCAATAAATCCCATACGTGAACAGAACAAGAATCTAGTCATTGAAAGTTTTCATTATCGGCCCAACAATCATGACTTCATGGTTTCAATATTTGATAGAAATGTGATGCTGGTTGAAAAACTTTTACAATTCCAAACTGAATACATCTTGGCAAAAAAATTTTTTAAACTGTCCACTATTTCTAAGGATCATTTAAACACTAGATATTTTGTCATTCATAACAATGGATTGATGTTTAAACCAATTCAATATTCAATTATATAAATAATTTGGTCTTACCACTGAAACTTGACATGATCAAGTCGAAAATAAATTGGATAGATAATACAGAAAGAACACTTTTAAGTGGTAATAGTATTCGTTTCAAAATCAGTGATTTTAATACTGCATTACATTAGACACAACTAACTACCTTCAAGGTTGTGATGTATGTAACCTGATTAATGACCGATGTCATCTATCTCATGGTCGTCTAAGCGCTTCCTGAATTCCATGAACCTATCAAATGTAACTATGTCATAGTTGAATCTGTCAAGGAGTAGTAATTCCCTCAATAGTACAAGTTGTGAATATCATTGAGTTATATTGAAATTATGAATCGGTCACTGTTAGAACGCCATTGGAACCCTGGAAGCACTGCATGACCGTTTTCTTCTAGTGTGGGGCTCACTGGCAGTGCACATCCATGACTGCTACTTGCGCAGTCCCACACTAGGACGAAGTGACCATCCAGTTTTCATAGGTTTCTTATGTGGGTCTAACAATGATCGATTCATGATTGCATTCCCTCTCAACAATCTCTATAACTGTATGAATAAAATCGTAACAATGTGCTAATTAGTGACTAGCTTTATGAGGAAATTCTCACACTTCTGATTAGAATTCGTGACCAGTGCTGTTCATTTGTGTAGATTGTGAGGCAGTTACCCACTGTAGACAACTGATAAGGCGGCTCAATACCTTGGACTGATTAAAGGTAGAAATTACCACCGTTGGATATGGGCTCAATGGTCTAGAAATTAAGTGTGAGCGCGCGATACCTAAGGTCCTGGATTCAATTCTCCAGCGCATAGTGGTGAATGAGAACTACTCATGAATCTCAAACTAGGATGAAACGGTCATCAAGTACTGTCAGCTTTCTAACGGTGTTCTAACAATGATCGATTCATAGTTTAATTGGATTTTGAATTTCTTACCTTACTGATTATCACAAAGAAATTTGAAATATGAATAGCACTTTTTTTTAACTGTCCAACTCATGATGAACAGTGATATTCTTAAAAACAAAAATGCACAATCCATTTTACTATCCGTATCTACAAAAATACAGTGAGTACATAAATTGTAGAATATTGTTTGTCAAATTTATGGTAGAGTTCTGTTCTCTGAGCTGAATATGGTTTGGTTGTGGAGCTTTTACAACTCTTCTAAACAACATCATCTGCACGAGGTTCAGATTGATGTATACCTGGTACGCCCTATGGAGCACAGGCCGCTGACTAGTATTCTGCAACCTACTCTGCCCTGGACAACTTCAAGTAGAAGTGAAGCATTTTTTCGAGAAATTCGAATGCCTCACTTCTCTACTTGGTGTTGTGTGCTGATGATGATATTGTTCTTCAGAAGTAAACAATTGAAGCCCCACAAGCAAAACAATTTCAGATCACAGAACGAAACTTCACCGTATTTATCCACTTGAGACAAAACAGTTGTATTCACTGCCTATTTCTAAAATTTATAACAAATATAATCTGTCAGTCAGTCAGTTATAATGTAGAACTTCGTACATGAGTACATAAGTTCAGGTTGCCATAATCCTTCAACACAGAGACACAACCGTCACTTCAAATCCGATAATAGTAGTAATAGTACAAGTATTAGAGTTAATGGAGAAGATTAGGGTTTGAAGATATGATTCCAGAAGTAAACTTCAGTGAGATAAATTTAGAAAGGGAAAGATAGAAGTGATGAGGAATTCAGAAGGTTAGAATTTGAGAAAACACAATTAATGAATGCACCTGCGCCATTGTAAACGATTTTGAGCCATGTCGTTCAAGATATCTAACCATTGGTGACTTACGTGTCACGGACCCCAATCAGGTAGCCTACATATGAAAACATTACTCAGTCCACTTGTCACGGACCTCATTGATTTCTGCCGTGTTTTGTTTTGGTCGCCCCTAGCTTTCTTCCAACCTACCCCTGCACCACTAAACATGGCTCTTCGAGGCGTTGGTGGTTGGGCATACTTAACACACGTCACCAACCACCTTAACTGATGAAGTTTCAATACTTCATCTATTGACTTGCCATCTTTACCTTTGCTCGCTTCCTAACGACAGCACTGCTTACTCGGCTGTCTCAGAATGTACGAGCAATGCTTCGGAAGAAAAGGAATCTTCGAATGTCCTCTACTCCCATCTGCCATGTTTCACAGCCATAAAGTAGGACGGAACGAACTGCTGCAAGGTATTTACCAAACGGATATCTCGCCTGCGCCAAAGGTGACGCAACTTGGCAAAAGC